TATATATATATATATATATATACATACAAGTTATTTGTGTGATATATATATATATATATATATATATATATATATATATAGCATGCAAATAACTTGTTCATGTTTTAAAAATTAATGGTATCTTGGTCAAAATGTTTCCAGCAAGTAACGATGTTGAGTGGGTAATATCGGCATATAAACATAACTCAAAGCTGTCTTTAAAAAACTGTAATGTAAATGCATTAAAACACAAGGACTTTTGTTGTCACCAAAATGATGGGTGGAGAGGTTACATGAGCAAAGGCCTCTTTGATGCAGACTGTTTTTAGATTGGTCACCACCACTGCAAAAAAGCAAACCACCGTGACAAACCAGTTATGTTGTCAGTTGTAGTATTCACAGCGCGTCACTTTTTCCACATTTTGTTATGTTACACCCTTATTCCAACATTGATTAAATTCATTTTTTCCTTAAAATTCTACACACAACACCCCATAATGACGATGTTAAAGTTTTTTTTAACTTGTTGCAAATTTAAAAATAAAAACAAACAAACTGAGAAATCACATGTACAGTGGGTACGGAAAGTATTCAGACCCCCTTAAATTTTTCACTCTGTTATATTGCAGCCATTTGCTAAAATCATTTTCAGATCCTTTGCTGTGACACATTTAACTCAGGTGCTGTCCATTTCCTCTGCTCATCCTTGAGATCATTGCAGTCCAGCTGTGTTTGATTATACTGATTGGACTTGATTAGGAAAGCCACACACCTGTCTATATAAGACCTTATATCAGAGCTGTCAGGAAACTTTTTCTGTTAAATAGGACTGTAAAATATGCTGTTAGTTCATAACCCAATTTCCTAACACACAAAGAATCAAATACGAGATCTCAAAGTTTTAAAAGTATTACATGCAGCAAGGAGTGCAGAACAATGGTTACATTCAGAACTGCACTGAGGAACACCTCAGTGCTCAAAGCTTAAATAGATTTTTTTTAGACACACACACACACACACTTCAATGGTCAGTCCCTTGGCATTCCACAGCCATGCGGTGTTCATGCGCCACTTCTGAGCACTGACAGGTAAAGATTGATCCAAACAAGCATTCTCCACCAATAGGAGCTATGTGGAAATGCTGTAGTTTATCAAGTCAGATAAGACCATGCAGTTCGGATGTTTTTCTCTCTTTGTCTTTTGTTGGTCTTCCGTCAGTCTCCTTATTTGGGCAAAGAAACTAGTTCTGGCCGGTTCTGTGTCCTGTCTCTATCTCCAAGTGTAACAGTCAGTACCATTCAGTGTTGTCCGTATCATCCTGTTATGTAAACCATCAGCACACCTGTTTTTAGCACTTTCCCTTTTAGTACAGCATAATAACAACATTCAATAACAGTATAAATTGATATGGAAACTTAATACAATTAAAATATTGTAAAGATTGAATAAATGTATTTACAACATCTTAACATTTCCTGCTATTTTACATATCAATTTAAACTGTGAAATAAAACAACTTCTCATTATCAGTCATGTACAACTTCAATTAGATTTTATGCACAGACATCATTTCGGAACTATAGCACAGTTGAACACTTCAAACAGCT